AAGGCATCATGCCTGTAGAACATGAGCAGGAACAGTGGCGTTATAGGTATTTTTTCTGGTGCTGACTGCCCTTGTACTTTGAGCACATCACTTAACCTTTCTTGGTGCATCTGTAGAATTTAGTTAAAAATATTAACCCTCTCATGAAATCTTGGTGAGAGTGTCTTCAGGAACGGTTGTCGAGGGCTTTTCTCCTCCCTGCTGGAGGAGGGATGGGGACCTCCTTGCTCGGGCACCCCAGCACCAGGCATGGGGGCAAGAGGAGAGGAGAGAAGTGTCCAGTTGTCCTTGCTGGGGACCAAGAGGACCTGTTAAGATAAATGGGAACTGATGGGGTCCAAAACCCATGGTTGTACCTTGGAGCCCTATACAGAGAAGCTACAGAGAATAGGGAAATGTGCGTTATTCCCCCAGCTTTGAAGTTTGGCAGCCACGTACTCCCAGCATCAGCGAGAGGAGCATAAGATAAATGTTTACCCTCCCTGCGCACCTTGTTGTGAGGGAGCAAATAACCTGGTTTGGATTATATTTAATCCTAAAATCATATCCCAAATTTGTATTTGTTCTAGTACGTAGGGAACCATTTGTACGTTACCATTCATCTGAAATGATTTTAGTACAAGTCAACATAATGCAGTTGCAAGCAGTGTCTTTTTGACCAAGGTCTCTGTTGAGATAACTGTGTTTTAGATGCAATGCTAAGAGCTCCTTATCAAGTACCATAAGGAAAAGGACAAGAACAGTCCTGCAAAGGGATTTTGGGAACAGTGGGGAGTTGGGAGCGCACAGGTTCAGAGGGAAGGCTGGGATGTGGTGGTGCTTTGCAGCAGAGAGGAGGGATCACTATCTTACAGATCATCATCTTGCCGTGTAGCATGTAGGGAGAAATGTGATATACCCCAAAGCAGGATTTAGTGTCAGAGACTTTAAATAGTCTGATTCTCTCACATGGAGAGTCAAGTATCAGTTTTGGTCTCCCTTATTTACCGGTATTGTGAACCCACGTGGATCTCGGAACATAATATTCTGTTGTCCAAAAAGTAACACAATTTGCCTCCTTTTCCTTAGCAAACAGCTGTGGGTCCCTCCATCCATTTTTTTGCATTCTTGGGCAAAGTAAAGCAAATTGTCAGAAGCCAGTTTCTGTGCTCTGTACAAAATCAGACTTAATAGCTGAGATAGTTTTGGAGAGGGATGTTAAATTTAACAAGATCTTTAGGGTCAACATAAAATTTTATTGTGGTATAATACCATATAAAATAAATAGTGTTTCAAAAAGATCTTTTTAAATTGGGAAAATCAGAACTTTATTCACATAGTTTTGAATTTGCATTATTACAAATTTAATCTCTAAAGGATTTGTCAAAATTATTTTTTTAAAGAAATGAAACGAGTGCTTTATTTTTGAAGGAAATAGTATCAACAAAAATAGTCTGTCTCTAAATGTAGGCACATGTCTAGTCTGCAGTGCCACTTGAGAGCACCTCTGAATGTATGGAGAACTTTTATTCGGTTCATGTACAGTTGAAGAGTTGAGGCAGAAGAGACATGAGTAACCTGCTCAAGTGACCCAGGGCATCCTTAGCATAGTAAGAAAGTTAGCCCAAGTTCAAGGGTATTATTGTGAGCAAATATTTGGCCAGGCTTTCTTTGAATCGTGGTGGTATTGGAACACCCTGGGAACTCCACTCACACGAGTGTTAAAACAGCTATAGCACTGAGCTGGGTCCTGGTCAGAAGTTCAGCATTAAACATGGACTGTGGCCCAGAGCTGTTTGCTATTAAATGGCATTAAAAATGTCAGAGAAGCCAGATAAGATCATCTGGGCAATAACCTTTGGGAATTTTTAAGCTCCATTTATGCTTATGGGCCCAGATGAAATATGAAGATGGAGGCACGCCTGGCAAAGTGGCGGTGTGGTGGTGCATCACTTACCTGGCACGTTCACCCAGGGCTTTCGAAACCAGCTGGCTGTGTGTCAGACACAGTCTTTTCATTTTGCATCGTTGTAAGTCAGTGATATGGAAGGATTTCTAGTAGCCCTAAGAAATGACATCTCGCTCATTTTCTGTATTTCTGGCTGTATGTGGAAGCTGCAGACCCTAGTGTGAGAATTGCCAGTGGTGGGGAGAGGGGAGGAAATTCTGGGATCGTGACTCAGACCCTCTTGAGGTAGAGCTATGGCCATCCCGATTCACAGGAAGCCTCTGGCCTGTACAACAGCTCAGTTGTGTTTTTGCATGTGAGAGTTTCGCTTGGAAGGTGAATGACTCTCGTGACCCTAGCCTGGTCCCAGTCATGAGGATGCCCTTTCCTCATCCTTATTCAACTCTCTTACCCTCTCCCTGCCTCTGGTTTTGCTGGATATTAATGTCTCTGAGCACATCTGTTAATACTCACTGCAGGAAACTCCCCTGGGAACACCATTTCTTGGTAGACTTGCCTCTTTCATAATCACTTATTTATTATACAGCACTGGTGCATTCCGAGCATCTAAATATGTCCTCTGAGAACGTGCTCGGTCTCAGAGGCAGATTGATACAAACTGGGATCATTCATTGGGACTCAAGAATTGCTTTAATGAGTTTTCTATTACTCTTCTCAATCAAAAACAAAATGGCAGTGCTTCTAATGATAAAAACCCTTAGAGGCTTCCTCTTTAACAGCCTGCCCACCTGCAGCTTTCACACCAGTATGAGTATTGGGGTTTGGGTGTGATGGTTGGAGCTATCCATACCATTACAACCACTAGACAGATGTAATTATAACAATATAAAAAAATTTATTATTATATCTTTAAGTAAATAACTATACTGTCAGTACAAGGCTGGTCAAGTCACTCATATTTTGTGTAGATAAAACAGCGGTTTGTGTGGACTTCTGGATGGAATTATCTGCAGATGAAGACCAACAATATCATTAGTCACACATACAAATATTTAAATAAATTTGGGTATCTTTCTTGCATCGCTTTAAAAATTGTTGGTATCTTTCTACATGAAGTTGTGGATGTAATAAATGCCCTTTCTTTCAGCTTGCCTGGATTAAAAAGGTTGGCTCCTAGCACTGTTTGTCAGTATTTCCCAGATAGACATGGCTGTTGAATAAAAGACTAACAAAAATGAAGTTAACCCAGCCCAGTATACAATATGACATTGCATCTGCTGAGAGCTTTTGGAGGCGAGAGCCTGCAGAGGTACAGCAGGCGAAGCAGAGCGTGGCCAGTGGGTCTCCTCAGACAAATCCCAGAGGCTGATGCGATTTTTTTTGTTTAAAAAGATGTCAAAATAATTGTTAAACTGTTGTTTCAGCTGCCACATTTATGGAACACTGGAAGAGAAAACAGATGCGTCTCAACTACAGGTGGGACCTGACTGGGTTTGAAGAGGAGGAGGTTTGTCCCTTCAGTTCTGTCTCTTTGACTTCCACCGTGGCGTTACCGATAGCTCCTTGCCTCAACCCATAGACGTTGCCTCGTAGGGAACCCCTCTTGGGGTGGTTCCATCAGTTAGAAGAAAGGAAAATCCTGTGCATGAACTATTTGAGGTTCTTATAGCAAGGCTATGACTGTTATGTCTTGTTGCCATAGAAACGTAATTGTATAGCCACAAAATCAATTATTATTTTTTCAAGTGTGTAGTTGGGTCACACCTAGCAGCGTAGGCGTGGAATATACAGCTCAGACATTACTCCTGGGCTGATGTCAGGGCGGACCTCATTCATCTCGTGCTGCTGTAAATCAGAAATGAATGTATTGAAGTTGATAAAGTTACAGCGCTGTAAAAAAGCACTGAAAAATTCCTATGAACTTTTAACGATGCAGGATCAAGCCCTGGCTTGGAAAATACCTAAGAAAATATTGCCAGACTTGTGGGCTTGGGGCATTGGGAGGGACACAATTGTGGAGGTGGGGTTTTCTTTTCATTTGCTTAAAAAAAAAATTGTCTCTAGCCAGGTTTATAATAAATGTACTAAATAACGTGAAAGGGAGAAGGGCCAAATCTGTATGAAAAAAAGGTCTTCAAAATCAATGAGATTTTAGAAGGAAAGGAGAGAAGATTGTCAGCCAACTGAGAAGCTGTGTCCCACCTTTTTGCTTTTAATTTTGCCACTTGACAAAAAATGCGACACCTTCCTAGACCATAAAGCAGTCCCAGCCCCAGCAGCCTTGCTCTGGACTCTGTTGCAGTTCAGAGGTGGCAGTGGCAGCTCCCGAGTCCCTTCCATTTTCCCATCATACATGACAAGCCCTGCTGTGAAAACCCCACTGTGGGATCTGAGCTAGGACCCACAGGTTGTACAGGTGTTTGCCCCTTTGTTTGTTGGCCAGCTGGCTTGTTTTGGGTTTTTTTTTTTTACTGTTGTTATTATTAAAAGAAGCATGACCACCTTTAGTCATCTCTCTAGATGTTCTACATAGATACACAACAAATATTGCTCACGTGAAACAAAAACCCCACCAGCCCTGGGTTTAACGCTGTGCAGCTTGATGAGCCTGGCACAGTTATTGTTCCCCTCGCCCCCAAAATCTTTCTGCTTGAATTATCTCCTCTTAATATATTAATCATCTCCATAATCTATGTAGGTGGACTATGGCAGCAGCCTCTATGCCGTGTGATTTGCTAGATCATACCTGTCTTACTGGGAGAGAGAGAATATAGGGATTTATTTCCTGGATACTATAGTGCTCTTTTATTTTTGGTAACTTGTTGTTAGCATACATGAAAGGAGAAAGGATTAACTGTATTTTTCCGATGTCTATCCCCTTCATGTCTGAGTTCCGAGCTCTACACAGCTAGAACAGCAGCTGTTAACACAATATAATTGCTTCTTTGTGTTGTATAGTCAACTCTAGATAATACAGTTTGGAGTTTAGCAAAGAATTTAAGCCCCTCCTGTTTCTGATTTGGGTGAAACTTAAGCTAGTATCATGTTGAAGAGTCAGGGTGTGCAGTGATATACTAAATCCCAAAGGGTCTCATCTTCTGGTGTTTTTAGGGACACCTAGTTCATACAATACTTACAGTACTGTTCATAAAGGCAGAACCTGATTAGACTGATTTTCTCCGGTAGTGTCTAACCATCCACTGTACCTGTGTTTGTTTCATGTAATTTTTAAAATGTAAATCCAATATGGTCTGCAACAGTTCAATAATCAAATTTTTGTGTTTTTTGTTTTTTTTCTTGTTTTTCGTGATTTTTTTCTGGTTTCCTGAAGGAGGCAGTCAAGGTTTGGAAAACTTTTTTTTAAAAAATTCCTCCTACCTTTTTTATTACATGTCATCTTTTGATCTCCATCTCTTCTTTTTCAAGCATCAGATTTTCTTTAGATCTCCCACTGATTGCTTTGCCTTTACACTCTCGCCCTCTCTACTTGTTCAGACTTTTTTCAGCTCCATTCTGTTTCCCATCCGATGCATAATTGTGAATTCAGAATCTTTTGTGAATGCCTAATTATCATGAATTCCAAATCCATGAATCTTTCTGAATCTTTTGGCTGTCTCTTACTTCTGAGTGTTTCCTAAACCCTCATCTTCAGTGCACACGGGTAATGGCTGGATGCTGCCCAAGACAGAATTAGGGGAAGACCCCAAATGACAATTTTCTGGGATCCCAAAGCCAAATATTTTGCATACTGACAGCAGATAACTGTTTCCCTCGTGAGCTGAGGATTGCTGAAATGACAGTTAATGACATGCCAAATCTAATTTTTATGAAAAATCCAAGTGGAATGTCACACGGGATGAACCACGCTGTCTGCAGGTTGTGCTGTATATATACTCTTACATATTAAATTTAATCTATATAGCATTTCATGTGGCTGTCTGATAGTCAGTGGAGATCATCCTGCAGTTGCTGCTGTAGAATTGCGAATGATACAGGATTTAATTTTTTAATTACAGCCAACTGTCAATTGACATGAATGACATATCGAGTGAATTAAAATTCAGTTAGAAAACTTGGAAATTATAATGAAATTGACCTGCAAACAGTTAATATGAGTAGATGAGATAGAAAATAAATAATTTTGCTTTTTATTAATTATGATTTATTTCACAGGATCATCCAAGAGCAGAATATGAAGCGAAAGTTTTAGAAAAATCACTGAGAAAAGAACACAAGCATAAAGAGGTATGGTGAAAATATCCATTTGTTTCACTTATAAAAAAACTTTTTTTAAAAAAAAGGTTGTTATGGCAGGCACTGACCCAAAACTAAGAAACAGGTAAAAAAAAATAAATAAATGTGTCACTGCACATTGTGTTTAAATTCCAGATGTCTTCAGTCCTGGTATATATGGGATACTCAGTGTGTGCCAGTGCGTAAGACATGATCAAAAACTAAAAATGTCTTTAATAATTAGATATGGGAATGTGGCTTAGGGAAGCTAATTAAGCCTGATTGAAGGGGTGCTTCTGTCAGGCTAATAAATCAATTTTGAGAACACTGTAACAAAACATCTTATTTTTTGCTGGTATAAGTACCTCAGGCCTCTTAGGAGAGGTCCTCTCTCTTGCTAGACTTTTTTTTGATAAATAAAAATATTACTAGAGCATTAATGAAGAGTACTAACACCAATTTCCTCGCCAAATTCCAGCTTTGATAATAACTTTCTGCCTTTTAAAAACATAACTTCCATTTTATTCCACTGAATAAGGTAACGCTCACTTCTGCTTTTAACTTACTCTTTACATCGCCGTGAAAAAGGTGCTGCCAGTCATCCCTGGGGCACGTGCATCTCACCAACGGGTGGTGCAACCCCTATGAGCAGCTTCCCTGCCCTTTCACCGAAGGCTGTAATTTCTTCCCTATTACTGTCTATCAGCAGCATTCAAAAAAGCTCCTTTTCTCCTCATTTCCACCCTACCAGAGGTTATTCCCTCTTAACTACAAGAATTCAGCTGTTTATATGACCATGATTTTAAGCAGAGATGTAAATGCTCCAGCATGAACAAAAATCTGTTGTCAGAAATGCCTCTGTTGTATCTGTTTCCAGTGGCACAGTAGTATGGAACCGTGCCCTAAACTGGAATTTTATGAAAACCCTATAAAAATACAACTGCAATCACCACATTAACATGAAATATACTTTATGAGACAGCACATGTAAATTGCACTGGCATTAAATGTGTCTGATTTTGTCACGTGCTTATATTTGAGCACTACTGGGCCCCTCTTAAAAGATGCTGCGAAGCCGATGGTGGTATGTTCCCGTTCATCTATAGGATGTGTGTGTGAGAGGTTGAGCATCATGTGCAATACCTTACTCACAGCACTGCTTTAAAATCCCTTGCAGAAGAAGAATAATTTGGGTTGCTGCCCTCTTATCAGCTGGATAAACAATGTTGGAATACAAACTTCATTGTATTCTGCTAAACACCTGTGTCTCACTTTTTTATATATTAAGAATTAATATTAATAAATGTGGAAGACTGTAGGGTCATTGGACAGTTAGTGAATATTGGCCTCAAAATATTAGAATATGAAAGCTGAGCAATTAAGAGAGGATTTTTTTTTTTAACCAGACTATTTATAACTTTTTGGACTGTGTTCAATTTATATGTTGCTAATTTGGGAAACGTGAGAAAAGGAGTTTTTTTCTGAAAGACTCAGTAATTATCTTTCATTGAGATCTAAAGTTTTAAAGTTTAAATTCAACAGTTGTAAGACAACTTGGAAATCTTTTTACAGAAAAAAATATCTAAAGCTAAACTAGAAATTGCTCAATTTTTTCAAAAGAAGTCCAATTAAAAAATTATATATTTTTTCAAAGGAAAATCTTTTTAGACATTCTTTATATATCACAAAGAAAAAAGAAGGGCACAATCCTAAATTAAAAAGGGAATGTCCTTTGCAGGATTGCTTGATCTACCCCAGGATTTGGGGCAAGAGTTTGTCTTCTGTTGTGGTTTTTATGTTTTATTAAACTAAAGCTGAAACACAAAGCCTTAAGCAGACTTGTCAGTAGAGAATATATGGATTAATGTAGCAGTGCTTTGTAATGCTATATTGCCCCATCCTTTTTTTGTTTCCTTTGACTGCCATCAGAAGCATCGGTATTTTCCAGAAGAGACAGCAAACAAATGGAGACAAAGAGTTAAGACAGTCATGACTGGGGTGAAATTGGTTCTTTTTATTCAAACTTATGAAGAAACTCAAATTATGAGTAATTATGGAAGACACAAATCAATTTGTTTTTGGCTGTTGAACCTTTGTTTAATATTCACATTGAGTTCTGGGTTTCTTCCCCCTTCTCCCCTTGTTTCTTCAGCCCTCTTGGGACACTGTTTGTGTGCGTTGGGAATGGCACTGCATGGCTAATCTTAGATTTCCCGTCCTGGACTGAGGTTACGGTTTGCAGTGGAGCATGGGCCATGTGTTGAAAGAGTTGCTTGCGCTTCCTTGAGACAACGTGCATGTAATAAAAATAGAATTTGAGCAATACTTTTATGTTCATTATAACATGTGCATCATCTTCTGTAATGTTCCTTTGGTTATTTATTTTCTGGTGTTTAGAAACAATTCCCGGCATCGAACTTTATGAAAGTCTCTAGATAAGCAATACTGTTCTAAAAATATTCTAAATGAAATTTTCATAACCAAATTCAGGCAGTGGCTGGTTGACTGGATACAGGGTATCTTATAAAGAGTTATTATACATTCATGTCAACTCCTATTGGCGTGGTCCATTGGGTACCACGTGGATAGACAGGTAGTTAAAAATCACTCATCTTGAAGGAATTTCAAGTCTTATTCCACAGCAAAAAAAGATCTTCCCTGTCAACTCTGCGTTCGTCTCGGAGTTCCTCAGTAGCACAATCTGTATTTGAGTGGAACCAGTTGTGCAACTGCAACGCTGCAAATGTTAACTGGGGAGGGAGAGGGGAAGAAGGAGAATTCTTCTAGGGAAAGCAAAAGAAAATATTTAAGAGTAAGAGAGATCTTACTTCATGGTTTATGACAACCTATTTGCATGTTTCCTTCAAAAAGTATACAGAAAAATCTGGTTTATTTATACTCACAGTGCAGGCGCTTGACCAATTTGAACCTAGATACGGAGTAAACAATTTGCCTGTGTGGAATTGTAACTGTAAACACTGTGTCTTTGCATCTTCTAACTGGTTGTGTATTTGCTAGCCTCTTTTTTTTCCCCCCCCTCCCCTCTCTGTTTTTGTCACGTGCAAAATCACACGCTCCCATCTTTATTAAATGTACCCTTTTTTTTCCTCAAATTTTAGACAGATAAAGAAAAGCTGACCTGGAAGGATCGTTTTCCAGCCTATTTAACCAATTTTGTTGGCATTATCTTCATGGTAAGCATCACCTGGCAAAACCTGACGTTTATGTTGCCAAGTCATTGTATTAGAACAGAAGCGATGGAAATGTTAGTGAAACCGTGACAAACCTCATCAAATTGATGTGGTTCACTCTGGCTTTTCCCCAGTGAAAAAAAATGAGCATTTTATTGTTTTATAATCTAAAATCTTCTCAAGAGCTTGAATTTCTACCTTGCCAAAAGAGACAGCAGACAAATGGAGACAAAGAGTTAAGACAGTCATGACTGGGGTGAAATTGGTTGTTTTTATTCAAACTTATGAAGAAACTCAAATTATTTCTTTTCACTAAAGAAATAAAAATATTTAAATAGGGTAGGGGAAAAATGAAGGCACAGAAATGGGAATTACCCCCACCATTGATGAGATGAAACTTTAAAAGTACAGAGTCCTCTCAGAAATTAGTCAGGAAGTAAAGAATGGCCTTGTTTCTAAACCAGACTTTTTTCAAAGAAATTATGTGGCCAGTTGCAATCGTGATTGCAAGGGATTTTTAATAAATCATTCAAATTTGGGGTTATACCATATAAGAGGAGAATTGCAAACAGAGCACTTAATTCAAGAAAAAGGTAAAATAATGATGAGAACAGGCTTTTCTCATTTGCTGATAAAGCATCAGCATTGAAAACCAATTTTGAAAGAAATAATAATAATAATTCAAGACATGGAACAGATTGGCAGATGGATAAAAAAGCTTAAACCCTTTCCAAAGGTAAAATACACCAAACTACTAACTCAGTTCCTTTGGGTTTTTTGGGATACAGATTCTTTTTTAGGTTTTTGGTGGGGTTTTTTTTAATATTTATGTTTTCAGAGACTGGAAACGCAATAAGTCTAATCTTAGCTGAAGAATCAGTACCTTAAAAAAATCACATATTTAAATGATGCCTCTATTTAAGCAATGAAAAGTTGAGTAAGATTTTTGCACCTTGACGTTGCCAGGAAGTATGTTAATTTAATTTCAGTTTGGGATTATGACAGCATAACAAACCTCAACAGGGTATTTGAAGGCTTGTGTGTAGACTTCAGCTGAAATATTCCTCTCTGTTTCCAGCCTGTCTTTCTTTTATAATGAAGCAAATACCATGCATATATGCTGTTGCTGGTATGGCTGAAAGGAAGCCCACTAATTTTTTTAATATAAACAAGTAGTTTACATTTAGGTGCCTTTAAAAAAAGCATTTTGCATGTGATTATGGCATTGTTATATCCATTTTTTCATGTTATGATCTAGTTACTAGCAAAAGAGGATCTTTTCCCATGGTTCATCAAAGTGATTGGGAGCCTTCATGCAGAATTGGGTGGACTTGGGATGTGGCCCAGAGATCCCATTTTTAAGGTCATTGCTAAGTCCCATGCAAAGTATTTCTAGTTAAATCTTTCATAAGAGGCTGCCCTGTTCTGACTTGCAGGTTGGGCTGACATTCGCTATAGTGTTTGGAGTCATCATATACAGGATTTCAACTGCAGCAGCACTGGCAATCAGTTCAACTCCCTCGGGCCGCTCAAGCGTTAGGGTGACCGTCACTGCCACCGCAGTCATCATCAATTTGGTCGTCATCATCATCCTGGATGAAGTATACGGCTGCATCGCAAGGTGGCTAACTCAGATCGGTAGGTTTAAATCCTCAACTCCTATTTGCTAGAGCAATTTTAGATGAGAGGACCCAAACAACTGACTTCCATAATTAACTTCAAAGTGGTGAGCAAAGCCAGGAAATTCAAATGTGTGGCTAATATTCTAACCAGCTACTTACAAATATCAAAGCACACATGGATTTGGCTTTAAATTTTAGCAGTGGTAGTGCTAATTACTAATCCAGTTATGGATGACAAGGATACAGCAGAAATTTCTATACCTAATCTTGAGCTTCACTCTTCTATTTCACGCAATTACTATTTCCATTTTCTGCCATTTTTTAATTGAGCTAAGATAGGTCGAGAAATGCAAGATTGTCGAGTGCAAAAAAAAAAACTGTAGAAAAAAATTTTTTGAATCATTTTTAAAAAGCATAAATGACAAAAAAGTCCAGAAATCTTTTCAGGTAAGATCATGTCCATCTGCAAATGATTGTCATGGAGGTCAGCAAGATGTGGAATGAAATTGGAATTAGTGTTGTAACACATCTGAACGGTGGGATTCTAAGCAGATTGACTGCTGACTTTAGTGAGGCCATATTACTTTTATATATATACATATATATATA